CCCTCCCAGAAAAAGTCAAATTTCTTGTCGTTGACCAATCAAAACTGCCCGTGGTCCACTTCATCTAACCAGGATGCAGGGCTGGCAGGAAAGTCTGGGTATCCTCCGCTGCTGCCAGTCGAGATGTCCGAGCTGGGGCCGTTGGCGGCACTCATGGAGCCCCTCACACCAGGGTTGATCCCGGGCCCGCTGCCCTGGGTCATGATAGAAAGGCCGGAGTCGGGGTAGACCAAGCTGGAGACGAGAGGCTGGTGTCTGGGTAGCGCCTGAAGCGACCCTGGCGACTGAGGGAGGCCGTAGGGGCTGTTGGAGCGGATGTCGTGGAACTGGTCTTGAGAGGGAAGAACGCCATGCTCCAGGGGGAACGAGCTGTGGTTGTTGCCCCCTTGGCGGCCCCCCATGGCTGGAGAGGACTCACTCAGGCTGCTGTAGATGCCATTAGTGAGGCCAAGCTCTGACATGGGTGGTTCATCTGTGCAACAAGAACACGATGGACAAAGGTGATATTTGTTATTCAGATTGCATGGCATTCACTAAAACTGTAGTCGTCCACAATGGAAACATTCATTTATTGTATATTCCTTTCATACCGTCTCTTTTCTTTCAAATTAACTGCAGTATGTAAATGTATTGTTCTTTAGTGACTGAGCTAAGATGCTTGCTTTGTTAGCTTGGATAGATTCATCCCCTCCTCAACATCTCCTTTATTTGATGAAATAATGAACAAAGCCAGGAGCAAAATGCCGAGGTGGCATAAACGCAGGGACAATGAAAAGAAGTCTGAAGAAATATTGTGACTGCAAGGCTCTTGGGATGCTAATATGTTAGCAGTTAGCTTACCAGCTACAGTAATTCATCAGCTAAACATCCATGAAGTAACTCTATGAGAAGTCACTACAAGCTTCTGGAACCACACATTTCATTTTAATGTCCAAACTGGAAATATTGTAAATATGTTTTTGCATTAGGAGATGAAACTCCGAAAATGATACACCGAAATGGAATAAAGTCTTTTTTACATTTTGTATTTGTGTTTTACATACAGATAATAGTCACCGTAGGAAAAGAACAAGTGCTTCAGTTTCAGGGTCCTGGTATGGTGCATGCGGGCTCACTGTCTGGTTTTCTTACTATGACAATTCAAATGTCTCCTGTGAAAAAAGTGCCCACTCTATTCATCTTGTGCTGTTGACTCTGTACCTGTAAAAGACACCTCGGCATCACTGTCCATGCCCTCCTCCTGAATGCTGTCCTTGTCGGATTTGGAGCTTCCTCGTGACCTCTTCATGTTGCGGAAATACTGGCCCCACCTCTGCCGACCGGCATCTTTCTTCAGCCTTTTCTCTTTAGCTCGCCTGTTCTGAAACCAAACCTGGAGGGTGAAAAGACGAGATGGCTTTGGTGACTTATTAGAAATGCATTTGACTGCTTACCACAGTAAGTCAAATGAGGCTTGAGTATAAAATAAAAATAAAAACTGATAAATTCATCTTTGAGACAGTTGCAGCAAAATTAAAGAAAAGTGTTTTTTCCGACACATTTATTCACCTCATTTACATATTCCTCTCGGTCTTGAGGACCATAGAACACAATGTTTAGTCATCATGCCTGAGTCAAAGTCCTCTACATACAAAGTCCTCTGCTCTTTCCTTGATGCACATATTATGCTTTAATGCATTGAAACAAAATGAATGTTCAAGGACTGTCGGGACGCGGCTTCCCACCTTTGTGACTCCATGTGGAAGACTGAAACAGTGACACTGACCAGTAATCCTGGGAGCAGCGTCTCCTACGCTAGATTTATCAGGCATTTAATTAACTTCACTACAGCTACAAGTTTTCCTCACCCCTGGGAGCAGACAGGTTGGAGTGCCACTCTGTTTAAATGATTCAAAGTTTTCTATATCCACTTTTGATCTGATTTATACATTTTACCTTTAGAAAACATAAACAGATAAACTCATAAACTTCAACTAACCTCGCTGAAATCGGACACAAAATGAACAAATGTCCCATTTCTTATTATCTTTATCTTGCGCACACAATTAATCCATTTCAGTCACAAGTACAAAAAGCGGTTTTACATTCTCCTTAATGATATTGCGCCCTAAGTGAACCCTCTTCACCCCTTCTCTTTCACTGAATAATGAGCAGCATTTTAGTGGCTTCCATCTCTACTTTTGTCCTTGCAAATAAAACAATATATATGACCACCACCTAGCAACCGGCGTGAGGCTCCTCAGCAGCAGACAATATGCGAGGGGCCCTCTGAGCATTGTTAACGAGCTTGCACTTAAACCATGCTGACTTTCACTTGGACTTCATTTCACTCCATCTAGCCGTAAATTCCCCGCAAACACACACACTTATGCGTACAGCAGGCTTGTGCCAGTTCAGCCACAATTGTCCCTCCATAATGAAGTGAGGACACTAATGGAATAGCCCTTAATGGATAATAATATACTTTACCTGCACAACCCTCATATCCAGGCCCGTCTCTGATGATAGCTGCTCCCGGACGTGACGGGCAGGTTTGGGAGAGTTATTGTAAGCGTTCTTCAGTGTTTCCAGCTGTTTAGCAGTGATGGTAGTTCGTGGCCTTTTTGCAGTAGAGTCTGCTTCTGAAAAATGAATTGACATCACAAAATGTAAGCCAGTGCAAGACAGTTATTTTGCCTCAAAGCTGTCCATTTTTTTTTACGTTCCAGGCCTGAGGTCTCGAGAAAAGTTGTTAAATTTCGCAATACTTGAATTAACAATAAATAGGAACAGTCAATTTGGCTGCATTTAATCTGGCTATTATTATACTTGTACAGTTTTTTCAATTAATTTCTGTCTCTAACACTATAACACAACAAAATATGTATGATGATTGAACATGTTACTATCAACAATTTTTTATGCGGATATATTTTGGGTCAGTATCATGAAAAACTTTGATAGAAACACATATTCACAGCAACCGAAAAAAGGAACAAGCTTGTATAATATACAACTTTTTTAATTGACCATAAATGGATAAATTCCCCTCTGCCTATAAACCAAAAACTGGCATCCATGTGCATAATTGCATCATGTCTGCACATCTGTTGGCCAGCACAGCAAAATACAAAACCATCATCCAAATGGATGCTGCCCAAGTAATTGCGACCTCTCATTAGTAAAATAAACGTGTGTGTTTTCAGTGAAAACTTGCGTTAAGTTGCTGCGTAAATCAACACTTGGTGTCGGCCAGTAAATTCAAACAAACAGATGGGGAGATAAAACTTGACCATACCAGTTGGCCCTATCAGGAGCAGAGCATGCTGGGAAATGATTGTGGCATTGGTTGATATAATCAGGGTATGTAATGAAAATATTTTGTGCATAAAATAGTGTTGGAGGAAACAACACAAACAACACATGTTAAAGTATAAAAAGTATTGATACTAGATAGCAGGTCTATGAATTATATGTTTTGCTAGTAATATATTTTTGAAAATATGGCTTGATTGAACGTTTTTCTCTACTTGTTAAAAATATTTGTGTAATTTCCCTTTAAGAAAATTATCCATTTGAACAATTATTACGAACAAAATATATAAGAGTTACTTTGGGGTAAGTAGCTAAAATATGATCGTAAAACATAATTGCTTTGATGCATTTTCAATGATGTGACTTCAAATTGTAATAATGTTAATTTGTTATTGAGTAATACATGAAAATTCTCTTTTTCTCCAGACTTTGTTGCTGCTTTAGTACACATGAATAATAGCAAGAAACCACAGTGTAAATTTACTGCAAATGTAGAATTTAATAAAAATAATAAATGCCCTTATGAATGCATTTAAAAGCATTTAAATATTTAGATAAGATAAATAACCTGATCAGTGCTTGCAACTGTAACATAATATTTTTTTTCATGATTGCTCTCTCTCTCTCTCTCTCTCTCTCTCTCGCTCTCACACACACACACACACACACACACACACACACACACACACACACAC